GAAGGTGGTCTTTTTGAACACTTGTTATAACTTTTTTTTATTTAGAGTAATATTTTAGTTTTTTTTGGGGTTTAGAGAATTTATTTATTTTTAATTTTGGCTTGTAAACACACTCAAATAATAAATATTTAAGTATTTTTATTTTAATAATTATATATTATTTAAATGTTACCTTAAATGAAGGTAAACACTTAAAATGAAAATAATAAATACTCGGCACTCCTCGCGTCGTATTCCTAGTGTCACGACCGACCCGTCCAAGCACAACTGCAACTGCGTACTGCCTGACCAGCCGGCATCGGCATCGGCAGTGAATCTCTAGTACGAACGCAAATCGGGTAAACGTAAATTCGTCCGGCAACTTGCTATGTTACTAGTAGCCTGGTCTTCTCTGTATACATTGTCCACCATAAAGTTGGATCCATATGGACGTTTTTTTTATATTAGAGTTTTAAAAAATCTTTTTGTGGCAATCACTTCTGCTTTGAAAACAACTTAAAATGCACCAAGTCAAAGTTGACAGCTAACATCTGGGAGCTGTCAAATACAAAATATTTAAAAGAAATTTTTAAAAATTGGTTAAATTATTATTTTAAAAAAGGTGACTAACAAAATTATGTTTCAACTTTGACTTGGTGCATTTTAAGTTGTTTTTAAAGCAGAATTGATTGCCACAAAAAGGTTTTTTTAAACTCTAATATCAAAAAAAACCGTCCATATAGGTCCATATGGATCCAACTTTATGGCGAACACTGTAATTATTGAATGGCTTCCCCGAAAAACGTTGTAACCGATATTTTTTTCAAAATAGAGATTTCAATGAAATAAGGTTGTAATTTTCATAGGTATAACGTTTTTTCTAATAAAACATAAAAATAGATAAATTTTATAGTTTATTAAAAATAAATTTTGTCTACAACCTAGTAATTAAATCACAATATTTTTGATAAAACTTGGTTAAAAATGGTTTGATTTTTAAAACAATAGAATATTATTTGAATTACTTATTAAATCAAATATTCAACTTGATGCAGTTATTTTTTCCATCATTCATTAATGCCTATTATTAAATTCAAGAAACGATAAAATGGGAGGAGCTCTGCGAAGAATACTATAAATAAGTTGTATAAATTTATATTATATAATTTTATAAATTACACTATACATTTGCACTTAAAATAAATTAAAGCATTAATACTGAATAGATCAAACCTACAGTGGACTAGCACAGGATTAGTGACAAAAAGATCTGAATTATGTCATTTTAAGCATTAACTATAAATTAAAAAGGAAATTTAATACCTACACACATTAGTACGAGAGCTAGCAACGTCGGAAAAATAAGTATTTTAAGATGTCTGGCTCTTTGATATATCTTTTACGATGCTCTCTAGAACAGCATGCAGCCCGTTTGGCTGCCGGTAAACGTTGCGTTCCCTACTGCGCATTGAAAGAAGATCCTATATTTTTATCAGTCCTTTAAATTCTAGTATTGAATGTAAACCGAACATGTCTCCATAGCGCAGTGCGTAGAGTTTCCGACCACGAACCGATGATTCAGAGTTCGAATCCGGGTGAGGGCTAAGACTTTTTTATTTTATTTTCGTTTATATTCTGATAGTAAAGTATTAAATATATATATTTTTTGAATTACCAGAATTATTTAATACTTTACTATCAGAATATAAACGAAAATAAAATAAAAAAGTCTTTGCCCTTACCCGGATTCGAACTCTGAATCATCGGTTCGTGGTCGGAAACTCTAAATAACTCTACGCACTGCGCTATGGAGACATGTTAGATTTATATTCAATTTATAGGACTAAATTAATAAAGAATATAGGAACTTCTTTCGATGCGCAGTAGTGAACGCAACGGGTATCGGCAGCCAGACGGGCCGCTTGCTGTTCCAGAGAGCATAGTAAAAGATATATCAAAGAGCCAGACGTCTTAAAATACTTTCTCGAAGATGTTGCTAGCTCTTAGACTATATTAAGTATATAAATTGGTTAGTTAAATACACCTGGGTTTCATTTAATAAAAATTTTAATTTTTAACAAAAAGTTTTCTTAAAATATACAATTAAAAAACGGAAGACAATTCAAAAATGTACCGGGTGAAAAAAAAACGGCATTTTGTTTTATTAGAAATGGCGATCATTGACATTGTATTTGAAAAATATGCAGTTGATCATCATTTCTACGGTAACTTGACGTCGTTTTTTTGTCATACGGTAATACGTAGGTAACCTTATACCTATACTGTGGTAATTTATAAAATATGTTGTTTTCTAATATCTATGTCTAAATATATATCAGGTTGGTATAGAAATTAATATTTTTTAGGTGCAAGGTGAAAAATGACTGATAATTCTTGATAACATAGAATAATCGAATCTCATAATGTAAATAGTAAATAAATTAATTAATAATACATAACAAATGTTGTGTATGGCGATTTGCATAACCCGATTTCAAGCGAATAACCGTTGGTTATGGTTGACAGATAAACAAAGCTTTAAACGTCAGTTGTCTACCGATTGCTTGACAACTGAAGTTTAAAGCATTTTTTATCTGCCAACCATAACCAACGGTGGTTCGCTTGAAATTGGCTAGAAGTGAGTTATAGTCTGCCCAGCGGCAAGATCCGTGACAATGACCGTTCCGCCTGTCAATTTAACTCACAGACAAAGGGCGTATTCCGTTGCTTACCTAGGTTATGGTTTTATGTTCCGTTTCTATCGGTTTCCTGAAAGTTTTCTTATTACGGAACACGGGTCCTGAAAAATTCGGTTATAACTGTCACCAAACTAACCAGCGCGAGAAGGCTGGTTTTGCTGGTTTTGTTTGTCAATCAATGTCATTTATGTGACAGAAATCAAGCAAATATTGGAAGTTCGAGTGAAATTTTCATTTAATTTCTAAAATTTGTAATAATATTTTGTATTTACATCCAAAAGCAATGGAGGTAGGCAGTAAAGGTAAATACATATCATTAACTAAATAGAATGGCTTTTTAGGACCATTTAAACTTATCATGCCGCCATTGTCTCTTAAAGTCAGGAACCTTTAAAGAAAACATGAAAAACAAGACAACAAGTAATCGTGAATGTTTTGTAAGCTATAAAAATATAAACATTGAATAGACTTGTTTTTTTTATTATTGATCTGTTTTAACCTGAAAATCTTCACTTGAGCTGTCTTACGACTTTAACAGTTTATTAATAAAGTACTTTTCAATATTAAACTCCATTGAAAAGAAGATGCAAACGTAAAAGCACAGAATAGGTACATTAAAAATGCATAAAAGATAAATTTTATAATAGAGGTATTGAAATTTAGAAAACGTCAACATTTGACGTTTCCAGTATTTTACCAAACCGTTCCGTATGAAACCGATGATTTTGAGGAACCGCTCTTTATCGTAGCTTACTATGAGTTTACCGGTCTGGTTCGTCTGGTTTTGCAACGGAATACAGCCAAATTGTTTTTCCCTACATTTTTTGGATGTCGTCTGTCGAAATATTCCCTGAGTCGTTGGACAGACTATAATATTATTTGTAAGAAAATTTGAAAAATTATTTAGTACTTAATCTTCAAAAAAATAATATAAGATTTTAAGATTTAGATGTTTATTTTAGTACTCTGTGTGTTTACTATTGCATGATCTAAAAATGATTGGTATTTAGAATTTTCCGGCATGAATTACAAAAAATTAAAAATATTCTTGCATAAGGAACATATAATTTAAAAAAGCTTTTAATTATCCATGCAATTGTAGATACCCAGTATCTATTCTACTCTATTTGAATTATAAACAAGTTAAATAAAAAAAAAATATAGGACACATTAAACTATCAACTATAACTATATAAATAATCACATTGAACTAAGCAAATGATTTAAGTGTGTTCTTATAAGTAAGAAAGTGTAAAAATGGGTCTTTGTGCATTAACATACTGTGTGATTGAATGAAAATAATGTCACAGTACGTAAAAATTTTAAAACTAAATTTCTTCAGCAATAAAAGTATTTAAATATTTTTCTAACCAACATAAAACGGAAAATATGTATTTTTTAACATTAGTCAGTTAAAATAAATAACAAGAATTTCAAATAGCTCACATTTGTTAAATGTTTTTGATCAACTACTACTGTCAAAAACTTTCAATTCCATGCGCTGTATTTTTTAATTATAGTAATAGACTAAGAAAAACTCAAATATAAATAATTTCATTGCCTACTGTGACTCCACACTCATTCAATACCGTATAATTTCTAATGTTTATACCGGGCGCGTCTCAAAAGTGGCTCACCCCCTATAACTTTTTTATTTTTTCAGATAAAAGAACAAAATTTAGTATGTTAGTATATAACATAAGTTAGGATTGATTGACGTATTCAATTGCTTTCGGTCATTTCCGGTTTCACCGGAAATGACTACAACTTTTGATTTTTAAATGACACCCTCGGAATTTTTTTACTTTATTTGATAGAAAATGACATTTGAATCGAATGATATGTCATATGTCAACTTTTGACATATTCGCTCAAAAACAAATTAAATTAAAAACACTAATTTTTAATCAAGGAGCCCTGGAAAAATATATTTGATCGTCTAATGTTTTTAGTTGCCCTGGCCGGTTAAAAGATACTCAAATTGTATTTTTAATCATATCTCAATTTTTTCAAAGGGAACGAGGGTGGCTCATTAGCATATTTGGAAAAAGCATTTCTTTATGAATAATTTGATACCGCACACTTGGTATTTCGAGTCAAATTGTCGTTATGAACCGCATGTTACAATTTCAAATAAACCATATGCGAAAATGTCAAAAGTTGACATATGATATGTCATTCTATTCAGAGCGTCATTTTCTATCGAATAAAGTAAAAAAATACCGAGAAAGTCATTTAAAAATCAAAAGTTGTAGTCATTTCCGGTGAAACCGGAAGTGACTGAAAACAGTTGAATATGTCAGTCATTCCTAATTTATGTCATATACTAACTACCAAATCTCGTTATTTCATCTGAAAAAATAAAAAAGTTATCGAGGTGAGCCACTTTTGGGACGCACCCGGTATATGCTTCTACAAAGAAAATATAACTACGGTCTAGAAATGTCTTTAGATTTGACTTGATTCTGCCATATATTTAAGGTATTTTTCTTTGGTCAGTTATACATGCCGATATCAACTTAATACTATACTGGCCTTCACTAACTTAACACCATTAATAGGTATTAATGATACATTAGGTCCCTAAATTCCTACTTTATATTTTCTATTAATGTATACAGCATTTTTCTAAAAAGTTTACTTCGATATATCTAAGGCTGGTGTCATATGTGAAGAAGCAGCATTTCAGAGAAATGTTGATGAAATATCCGTATATCACTAAACGATCCTAAAAGAAAAAATATATTGCTTGATATCTGATACACACACAACAATAGCACAGGCCAATACATATAATTCTATCAAGCATTGACTTTCTTTACTATTATCATAATTAAAATTTTATTTTTATTGGGAATTCACTCAAATAGAAATAGAAATGCCCTCAATACCAATATAGTTTATATCACGAAACTTTTCTCAATATGGTACGTGTCTACGTATTTTTCAAAGAGAGGAAATGTTTTTTACCGTCATCAGAAATCAATCTATAGTTTTATATTTATATTTATAATAACTGCTAACTTGATACCTATTTTATTAGTAAGTATTCATAGTAATGCTCTAAGCATTTATTAACCTAGCATTTATTTGTGACTCCTCAATTATATGATTAATATCTTGACGTTCTTCGTTTTCCGCCTCGTCTAACCACTGTCTTATTTCTGATATGTACATGTGACGTTGCAGAACATCTCTAGTACGAGCTCGTCGTCCAATGTAACATGTAACACCCTGAAATTTTTGATTTTTCATAAATAATAATATATGTATTACATATTTAAGTTTACACTTCACTGCTGAAAAATACATACCCCAACAGCAAAGTCCATTTGTAGAGATTCTAATAATTTAGGATCTGAAATTAGTCTCTCTATAGAGTTCCAATCGACAATGACTTCTTCATGAAGCATGAGTTCCTCTAAAACAAAAAAAATATTAAACAGAGTTCGCGACGTAACGTGCGTGGTGCAATATATTGATCTGGTCATCGAGAAACTGCGTGGTTTGAATTTTTAATCGCGAGTGAATTAATTTCGGGAGACGATAATGCAATTTTATCGTCGTGTATAAAACAATATTTTTTTTCCATAGCGAGTTACGTTTTAAAAAATATTCAGAAATTATTATTTCAAGGAATTTATTACGAATAGAGTGCCGGGTTTGCGTTGGTTTCTATGTAATTTGACCGGCAAATAAAGCTATCTCTTTAGTTGTCAGTTTTGAGTCAATACTTTTTAATTGTCTTTCGTGTCGATGGCTGATTGAATTGGAGCCAGAAATGGCTCAAAACGAAATAACTAAATTACCAACAGATATTCAGGCTGGGGCGATAAACGCTATATCCAAACTACTTCCATTTAAATCCCGAATAACTTAAGAAAAGGAATAGAAAATTTTTCAAAAATGGAAGCAATTAAAAAACGTGCCAAAAGAAATAAAGTTTTTAACCTATCCTCGCTGTTAAAGTATCATTTAATCTACCCTTGCGGTTAAAGTACTATTTTATCTACTAATTTTGATTGATAAGGCAATTTTAACAGTTGCTACGGAAAAAAATATATTTCACCCTGTATCTCGGAAACGAAACATTTTAGGACATACATTTATACGAACTTTTTCACCTATTTTTATCGGTAGAATATGCTGCCGAAGTTTCCCGAATACAATTCCGACCACCCTGTCTATTAGTTTAATGTGATCAAAATATAAGTTAGTTAAATTAAAAAACCTACCGTCTCGTTTAGATGTCTGCTTCTTGTACTGTATTCTGAATCTAAAAGCTTCTAACACTGATGCAACGACAATAGTTAAAACAACCATTGTAAATAGATAAAATGTCATAAAGAATAATCTTGAATAAGAGGCAGCAAAAGTGGCATAGGCATCCATAATTATAAACCAATTATTTACAACAGTTAATTCAAATAGTGTTACTCCTGATATAACAAGGTTGGAGAAATTATTGAGATAGTAGTATCCTATACCCGACGTACTGGAGTTTGAACTGTATTTGTAAAAATCTTCTACAGTTGAATTTCTGAAAATATATAAAACATAAATTCCTTGCTAACGAATTCAATGAAATAATCAAAATGAAACAAAAAAAATTGGTCAAGTGCGAGTCGGACTCGCGCACGAAGGATTCCGTACCATTCATTATCTATACAACATTAGACACTATATTATTATAAACTTTTTTTCCGATTTAGCTGAAATTTTGAATGCGCGTATAAGTAATTAAAAAAAAATGAAGAAACACGTTACTAAAAATTGTATTAATCAATAATAAATATGTAAAAAGTAAAAATAAATATGTAAAAATTAAAAATAAACGATTAAAAAAAAGTCGCCTTGACTAGGATTCGAATCTGCCTTACTACGGCTCCAACGTCATAGCAGCGTAAAGTTCTAACGCTTTAACCACGCGACCACCGAGGACTTGAAAGGTTCTATGTAAAATTCTTACTTAAAAGATAATGTTACGATAAGATAACGTAAGTATTTGTTCTAATAGCGGCATCATATGTAGATACATTATCTGTAAAAATTTCAACTGTCTAGCTATAACGGTTCATAATGTTACGTTTTTCGTCGGTTCTCGGCAACACTGTCCCCTTCTTAGGCACATGCTCGTCCCGAGATGTACACGGTGAATGAAGGTATTTGCAAAGCTGGCCCCTGGTACATTGCGAATTCTTGTAGAAATAGCAGTCTACAGTTTTCTCTCCCGATCTCAGCTTTGGGTTGTAGCAGCAAACGAGGATCTCGATTCCCGTAAACCTGAACAAGACTTCAATCATGTTCCGGATTGTACGCCAACTCAAACCATCGAGTCCACACGCCAGCTTCGGAATGGCTAATCGTGCAATGTTGTTGTTTAGCAGGGCTTCTTTCAGTTCAATCAGAGTCTTCCATAGATTGAGATAAGTCGGCTTACTCGGGGACCATTCCTTGGTGACCAGGTAGAAGATGTGTCTTGCTTGACCATGTGCATTGTCGGTTAGCCTCAAGACGCTTCCAACCTCTGGATCCTGTCGGCGTAGTTCTCCGACACGCCCAAACTTCTCATTGAACGTCGCAGCGATTCCTCTGGACATCCGCAAATCTCGAGCCACACAATGAGCGAGCGAATAATCAGGAGGCACGGAAAAGAGGTCTCGTTGATCTTCTTTGGTTACACCATAGCGAGCCTTCTCACTGCTGTTGTATCGGGCCATGAAATCGTCAAAGGACATCTCCGAATCAGGGGGATCAAAGCTGCAGGTTCTCACGGTCCCAGCACGATCTTCTATTTCGCCTTGGTAGGGGCTCAAACGGTTGAAATGGACTACCCTCGGTTTTCCTTTTGGCAATTTTCTGATACGGTATACGACGTCATTAATTCTATCCATGACTTCGTATGGCCCTTCCCACGAGGATTGTAGCTTCGGAGATAACCCACGACGTCTCTGCGGGTTATATAGCCACACCAACTTCCCTGGTTGGTATCCTCCATGCTCAGCTTGAATGTCGTAGTGTTCCTTCATTCGGTCACTAGCACTTTGAATATTTAGGCGGACTCTCTGATGAATGTCGTCCATCCTTTGACGTAGTGTGTGGACATAATCTTCTCCGGCGACTTCTTCTCCCGGTCGGCAACCAAATTTCAGATCACAGGGTAGGCGCACTTCCCGTCCCATAACGATGCTGGCTGGAGTTTGCCCTGTAGATTCTTGGACGGATGAACGGTAGGCCAACAGGAACAGGTGAAGAAATTTGTCCCAGTCTCTTTGGTGGTCAGAGACTACTTTGGCCAGATAACGGTTGATAGTTCTGTTCATGCGTTCAACCATCCCATCGGATTGTGGATGTAGAGCAGTCGTCCTGGTCTTGCGGATGTTCAGGACTTCACAGACGCCTTGGAACAGATTGGACTCAAAGTTTCTTCCCTGATCTGAATGAAGCTCCATGGGAACACCAAACCTGCAGATCCATTCTTTAACAAGGGCATCAGCAATCGTGGACGCTTCTTGATTTGGCAACGCGTAGGCCTCGACCCATTTGCTGAAGTAATCCATTACTACCACAATGTATTTGTTGCCATCGTTCGTCTCCGGGAAAGGACCAGCCACGTCGATCGCTATTCGTTCGAAGGGACTACCAACATTGTACTGGCGCATAGGGGCTTTACCACGCTTTTGTGGCCCATTAATGGCTGCGCAAATGTCACATTTCTTACACCAGGCCCTCACATCTTCTTTGCAGTTCACCCAATAGAACCGTTCACGCAGCTTGCCAAGTGTCTTGGTAACACCAAGATGTCCTCCGCTGGTTCCATTGTGAACTTCCTCCAAGACTTCTGGGACCCTCTTCTTTGGAATGGCAATCTGCCTTCTCTTTTCTTGTCCCTCCGGTCTCTCGATCACACGGCGAAGTAGTCCGTTATCTATTACCAAGGAATTCCACTGGGCCCAGTACGACTTTACGTTCGGCGAATATCTGCAAACTTCTTCCCACGTTGGTCTTTGGCCTGTGTTTTTCCAGTTAATTACTAAACCTAATTCTGGGTCACTGGTTTGGTCATTTGCAAGATCTTCGGGTTGCCAACTATCATTAACCACAGTTATTCTTAGGAGTTTCACTTCTTTCTCTTCTGCTCGGGAACAATGCTTACAGTCCTTAGGGCAAGGTCTTCTGGAAAGCGCGTCGGCATTTCGATGGATTGTCCCAGCTCGATGTTCTGTGTCGAAGTCAAATTCTTGTAATCGTTCAATCCATCTAGCTACCTGCCCTTCAGGATTCTTAAACTGCAACAGCCATTTCAAAGCAGCATGGTCTGTTCTTAACAACAACTTTCTTCCATAGAGATACTTGTAGAAGTGTTCCACTGCTTTAACTACTGCTAGTAATTCTCGTCTGGTTACACAGTAGTTCCTTTCCGGTTTTGACAAGGTCTTACTAAAATAACCAATGACTTTTTCTTGACCATCCTGGATCTGAGACAGAACAGCGCCTAACGCAACATTGCTAGCGTCGGTATCCAGTATAAAGTTTCCGTTGCCAAGAGGGTAGCTAAGTATGGGCGCACTAGTCAGGGCCTTCTTCAATCAGAGTCCCAAGAGTTTTGCGATGGTGGCGAAACCCTGTACATAGCGGCGATAGTATGTGCATAGTCCCAAAAAGCTTCGTAGTTCATGTTTATCTTTAGGTATCGGCCACTCTTCCACTGTCTTGGTCTTCTGTGGATCTACCGCAACTCCTTGGGAGGAGACTACATGGCCCAAGTAGTGTACCTTTTCTTGACAGAGATGACATTTCTTGGGGCTAAATTTCAAACTAGAGCTCCCTAGTCGCTTGAAAACTTCTTCCAAATTCTTCAGATGATCGTCAAAGGATTTCCCAACCACTATGTCATCCAGGTACACTAAACAGGTAGTCCAGGATAGTCCCTTTAACACAGACTCCATTAGTCTCTCAAAGGTAGCTGGCGCGTTGCACAATCCAAAAAGCATGACGGTAAATTGCCACAGGCCGGAGCCCACCGAGAACGCTGTCTTCTCTCTGTCTTTCGGCGCCATGTCGACTTGCCAATATCCACTCTTCAGATCTAACGTAGAGAATATCGTTGACCCCGCCAGCGTGTCTAGAGTATCGTCTATCCTCGGCAGGGGATAGCTATCCTTCTTGGTAACATTATTAAGTTGCCGATAATCAACACAGAACCTGGTGGTACCGTCTTTCTTCTTTACTAGTACTACCGGCGATGTCCACGGGCTGTTAGATGGTTCGATGACACCCTCTTCTTTCATTTCTCGAAGGATTTTGTCAGCTTCTTCACGTTTGGCGAGCGGCAGTCTACTCGGATTTTGTTTGATTGGTCGTGCATCTCCGGTGTCAATTTTATGTTGTACTAAATTGGTACGACCTCTATGTCCTGCTTCTCCTTTATCAAACACATCTTGATACTTGATTATCAGGTTTCTCAATTTTCTACTATCTTCGGGAAATAATCCCTTAACGTTTACTAACTCCTTAACCATTTTGTCCGGAATTTTTGAAATCGAAACTTTGGAGGCTTCCACGCTTCGAATGACTGAGGAGGCCGAACAACAGTACCCTAACAGGGTTCCCTTCTTCAAGGATACAGAATGATAATTCGTGTTCATTACTCTTACCGGTACAGACTTCTTCGCTCGTAGCAGGGGTTTTCCAACAGCGACCCCTCGTCCTATTTCGCTGTCATGGTTCCTTGGCTCCAACAGAATAATACTCCCATTATTCGTTTTACCTTCCAGGCGACCATCCAAAAATATCTCACAGCGCTCAGGGATCGAAACATCTTCTGCTACTACCACGCGAAGCGTCTCCTCACATTTTCGATGTAGAACCACTTCTTCTTCATTTATTTTCAAAATTTCTTGTTTGAGGTTTAGTTCAAAACCTCTAGTGGTCACGATGTCCATTCCGAGAATAAGTTCATCTTCGATGTCTGCTACTAACACTCGATGATTAAAACAGGTGCTTCCGATAACAAAATTAAGATCTACCTCTCCATGGATGAGAGCGCAGCTTCCTGTAGCTGTACGTAGTCGCCATTGTGTTGTTTTAATCCTTTTTGATGTTTTAAGGATATCCGGCCTGATGATCGTTTTGGTCGCACCCGTATCCAACAGCATGGTCCGTAACTCTCCATCCACGAAACTAGCCACAAAAATGCTGTTGAACTTGTGTTGTAGCGATGCGACTTGAACAGTTTTCGTTGGAACCTGTTGGGTACTGCTCCATATGTGTCCCTTTGATTCGACACTTGGCGAAACCGAGTCCACGTCTTTTTCTTGACAGTGACTTCTTACGTGTCCTGCCTGGCCGCAATTCCAGCAACAAGTCGGTCCTTTCTTGCCCATGTACTCCTCCATGACTTTCCGTACAATGCTTTCCACGGATTTGTCGGAACATTGGTTGACCGCCCGTACTCTCACTAGAGACCGAGAACTGTTTCGCGGCCTCAAATTCTAGGGCACGTGCTAAAGCATCCACCAAGCGCGTTGGGTGGGCTAGAAGAAGCGCTTGCCTTGTCTCCCTGTCACGTAAGCCATCGGAGAATGTCTGTACTGCCAACCGCTCCATAACATTCTCGGGCGTAGCAGGATACGCAAGGCGAACCAGGCGGGCTACGTCGGCTTCAAACTCCTGCAGAGACTCATTTGACTTTTGAATGCGATTTTTTAGCTGTGAATGATAGACATGTTCCAAATGAGCTTGGCCGTACCTCATTTCTAAATGTCGTACCAATTGCTGATAATCTCCCTGTTCCGATGGTGACAGTGTCTGCAGGATATCAGTCGCATCTCCTCGCAGTGCGACAGTCAAAGCGGTAGCCTTTTCAGCGATTGTCCATCCGTTCGCTCTCGCAGCGGCCTCAAACTGGCAAAAATAATTGGCCCAAGCGGTTTTCCCGTCAAACTGTGGAGGTTTCATAACTGATTTTGAGGCATACCTATTTCCGACTAGTTTCGGTCCCTCCGATGTTTCTTAACATATTGGTGATTTTCACTTCGCTATTTCTTCTTTTAAAATTTCGATTTTTCTGTTAACATCGTCCTCAATCTGTGCTATTTTGTCTTGTGTATCTATTATCTTTTCTTCTAATTCCCTGGAGTTTTCTGTTATCTTGTTGTATAAACTTTGTTCTAAATTCAATATTTTATTATTGAAGCTGGCCTGTATGTCTTTAGAATTTTCTGCGATCTTATCTTCTAAATTAACTTCCAAGTCAGTTATTTTACTATTCAAATTGTTCAAGTTGTCGTCTAATTTTTGTAAGGACGAGTCAAGGTCACCTTCCAGCTCAAAGCAAAATGTGTCAGGATCCTCACCTTCCTCAATCAAAACGTCTCTCAGTCTGGCTTGTAAAATGCTTTTCTTTCCATCTGTTTCGCATTCCCTCTCTTCCAGTACGCATTTTAATTCCGACACTTTCAAGTCTTTCAACAATTTTTCGGAGCCATTGTCTCTCTTTTATTTTCCTAGTCTATCACACACGCCACACTTGACACCAATTGTTACGTTTTTCGTCGGTTCCGTGTGGATAGAAAGTCACAATTTATTTAAACACTATTTATTTAACACTAATTAACAAAAACAATAACGATAACAGACTTATAGAACTATTTACAAACGATTTATAACTAAGAATTTATTTTGAATTTTCGCGCGTCAACTGCACTGGTATATTTATAACTGCCCCCTGTAGGCCACAGCCGCCGGCTTTTATACCGACAGGTAAAGAACTCTAGAATAGTCCATAGATCGTTAGGTGCGTAGAGAAGGTTTTCGAATGTTCTCGTATGTACTAGTCCATTCCAGTGGGACTCGATTCTTCTCGAACGAATGAATCATTACGGTGTCTATTCTTTAATGCGATGTTAAGGACATCTGAGGGCGGGACATATAGTTAGGTTAGGTCGAGTTCACACGGGTCCGCAACAATAAGATAGACGGATGGACAGCGAAGTCTTAGTAATAAGGCTCCCGTTTTTACACTTTGGTTACGGAACCCTAAAAATGCAGTTAAACGCACTTAAAAATAGGTTAAGTTGATGAAAAAAATATTTAAATTATCCTATATGTACATATATTTATTGGGAAATAAAGTGATTACAATCTTACTGTTATTTCTTTTTCAGTAAATATACGGGTGTCCCAGGCTGAGCGTGCATTAGAAGTTTCTAGAGAACTACAATACCTAGAACGGAGATTTTTTGCACATCATTGTTTCACAACGAGATCTATCGATGAAAAATATTTTCAATATGGCGGCACTTGCGGAAATGCCGGAAGTCGACAGCAACTTTCTTATTCTAAATGGGTGCTCCCATTTTTAATTACATAGTTTATTTTTAATTATTAGTTTATAACACAAATCTGAATAAATTTGTCTCCCAATAAATCGTAATACTTCTCAGGCATTTTAATTTTACTTTTATAAATAGTGTATTAGCCGTTTATATATAAATGCAAATAAATTTTAAATTATAATAAATGTTAATATTCTAGTACTACCAATTAATATTTTATCAAACTAATATTAATTAAAATCGTTGCAGCAGTTAATAAATTTTATTAATTACGCTGCTAACTTGTTTATTTTATTAATTTATTATGAGACATGTATTTGAGACATGTATCCTTCATTTTTTGTGATAAAATACAGTGTTACATTACATTTACATTTATAGTTTCATATTTATAGTTTCATAGCACCTAGCAAATTCAATTGCTGTGTGTGCTAGACACTCTAACAAATAACTAATAACTATATGAAAGAAATGAATCATAGGTGCAACAGAAAGAAAAAAACAATAAATACGCAAACTGAAACTACAACAATCGAAACAAAAAAAACTCAAAAACCCAGTGTGCATAAATTTCCTGCACTAAAACAAACATAAAACAAGCACAAGTGTCCCAAATAATGAGCGGCAATTGGCGGGGATGAGAGAGGTCAGCGGGATGTACATTTTATGTATATATTATGTTACATGAATTTTAAAACTTATTTTTAGTTCAATGCAAGTATTTTGTGTATTTTAACCGCATTTTTATTATCAGTTATGTATTTTTTTGAAAGAATCTTAAATTTTTTCTGCTGGTTAATTATACGTATGTTATATGGAATTACATTAAACAATTTAGGTGCAAAATAAAGTACTGTTCTCTGTACGTGAGATCTGTGAAAGTATATATTAACCGTTTTTTGAGAAAAAACAATTTGGACGAAAAAAACTGCCTGTCAAAAAAATGTGTATAACCTAAACGTCAAAATTTAGTGATTATCATAGCCACTGTGACGTAAAGAGAAGACATGTGGCTACCTATTTCAAAAATTAAATTGTTCTAATGTCATATAATAATGGCCGCAGCTGTCATGGAAATGAGTGATAATGAAATTAGAGATATTTTTATAAATACACTTTTTAAACTCTTTAGCAGGCAGTATTTATAATATTTAGTTCAAGTAATTAGTATTCTGAGAGGCGGAAATAAATTGTCTGATTGTTTGACACTTAATGTCAAAGGAAGCTAGATAAAATCAAGAAAAATATACGTTGTAAACTAAGGTTTTAAAATTAAATCTTAAATAACTTAAAAACGATTTATTTTAGATATATGAACATGAACAAAAGATGTTATCGTGGGGACTATAATAAAAAAGAAGAATGAAATTATTGGCCAAACCTACAGTAAGATTAGCCATGAAACATGTCGTATTCATAGTCGTATTTTAGCCATGTTTCATGGCTAATCTTACTCTGCTGTGGGTTTGCCCAATAATTTCATTCTTCTTTTTTATATGAACATGTATAATGAAAAAGTAACGAATTGAAAAATCTTTTTACTAAAGAAATAAAAAAGGAGGTTTCCATTTGAAAAAACTGATTTATAATAATTTTTAATAGCTCAATTCCATGACAGCTACCGCCATTATTATATGACATTCGAACAATTTAATTTTTGAAATAGATAGCCACAGTGGCTATAGTAATCACTAAATTTGACGTTTAGGCTATACACATTTTTTTGCGGCGGTTTTTTTCGTCCAAAAATTTTAAATATTTTTTTCCCAAAAAACAGTTAATGTTAGGTATAGAGTGTTTAATATCAAAATTCATAAAATTTTACAGAGAACTAAATTATGTAATAAAAAACGGGGGCACCCATTTAAAAAAAGAAAATTGCTGTCAACTTCCGTTATTTCCGGAAGTGCCGCCATATCGAAAATATTTTTAAAGAATAGATCACGCTGTAAAACAATGATGTGCAAAAAATCTCTGATCTAGATATTGTAGTTCTCTAGAAACTTCTAATGTACGCTCAGCCTGAGACACCCTGTATATCAATGAGCTGTGATAAATATTAATAAAGAGACTGATACTCACTCGCAACAGTTTCTCAGGTTAAATTCAGAAAACAATTCCATATTAATAAAGAGACTGATACTCACTCGCAACAGTTTCTCAGGTTAAATTCAGAAAACAATTCCATTCCAAGGATTGCAAAGAAGTAGTACATAACCATCATAACTATAGCGGTAGACCACATAAGCGGTGATAATAGTACTAGTGTACCAAAAATATCTCTATATCGTTTTTTAATCTTAAATAAACGAAGGATCCTGTAATTTTTAAGTTTGTAAAATACCTGATAAATGTCTGTTCTAAACACATATTACCTCAGCGGTCTAAGAATTACGACAACGGTAAATTTAGGAGACATTAGTAATAACACAGCTCCCCAAATAGCTAGTAGAGTTACTGACAAATCAAAAGTATTCCATCCAGATGAAATGTATTCGTTCAATCCAAAACTTATAATCCTTAATATAGCTTCTAATAAAAATACTAAAACGCATTGTATAATTTTTTAAATAATCTATATAAACCCACCGGCAAAAAAAACGGCCACTAAAAACTAGTCCCAATTTCAAAGTTGGATTTCTCGCGAACCATTCATTAGATTTTGATGATTTTTTTTTAAATTGTAAATTAATTCCTTCTTAACGTCAGAAATTTCTGACGTCTTCTACGTCAGAAATTTCTATTCCGAATTTATTTTGAGCATATACAGGGCACAACAATAAGACGAAGTTTTTTGCCCGAACTTTGTAAATAGCAGCTGTAGTAGCTATTGCTAAATCAAATCACATTGTAGCCTCATCTTTTGTGAGCATTTTGTTTTTTTAATCACGACATTATCTTTGTTTTTATTGCAGATACGCTGCTTTAAAACGAACGTCTCGGAAAAATGCTTCGTAGGTAGAAAGTTTTATCTATAAATAATCAAGGTGACATAGACGAAAAGGGATTTATGAATATTTGCAATATGACAACGAAATTCAAAAATGCCATTATCTGTGACGGATGTTGCTCGTATTGTGGCTTTAATTGAGGATGGCCGAAGTCAAACGTTATATGTCCGATACCCTGGGTATACCTCGAACAACAGTCCAGGATGCCTGGAATCGGTATATGGAAACGGGAAATTTCACCAGGCGAGTGAGGACCGCTTTATTATCCTGAATACTTTACAAAATCGTAGAATTACAGCGTTTCAGAATCAACATCTGCTACAAGCCGTGCGTAGAACTCAAGTCAGTGAGAGAACAATCCGACGAAGACTCAAAGAAAACAGCTTGTTTGCAAGGAAGCCTGCCACAGGACCTCAACTACTTCCAAGACATCGTTGAGCACGTCTTCAGTTTGCATGTTTACATGTGAATTGGGATATTGAGTAATGGACTAACTCTTTTTTCGAGGCGTTTGTTTTAAAGCAGCGTAGTTCCAATACAAACAGAGATAATGTCGTGATTAAAAAAACAAAATGCTCACAGAAGATAAGGCTACAATGTGATTTGATTTAGCAATAGCTACTACAGCTGCTGCACCCTACAAGGTGTTACAAAGTTCGGGTAAAAAACTTCGACTTATTATTGTGCCCTGTATATGCTCAAAATAAATTGGGAATAAAAATTTCTGACGAAGCATCCGTTAAGAAGGAATTAATTTACAATTTAAAAAATCATCAAAATCTAATGAGTGGTTATTCCAAACCAACTTTGAAATTGGGACTAGTAGTGGCCGGTTTTTTTTGCCGGTGAGTGTATTTTATAACTTACATGTATAAAAAAGCCACGAATCCCAGGAAGCGCAGAAGTTTCTAGCTCCTTGTTCCAAATTATCTGAAGCTTCCATTATTCTTATAAACATTGCCATAAGATTTCCCACTATTAACGCATCTATAACATATTAATTGAAAGTCATTATTAAAGAAAGTCATCACTCGCAATCATATATTATAAGTAACATATTTTTAGAAATGAACTCTTAAGTCATTTCTAAAATCAAAATGATTTTAGTCTTAAGTCAATTTCAATATAAAGTTCAAATGACTAAAGTTCTAAGTCTTTGACTTAAGTCATTTTCTTTCAAGTCAAGTCATTTTTGTAAAGACTTAAATCAACATAACGTTATTTAATTTTTTACTTAAATCATGATGATCTGCAAGTTAAGTCAGTAAAATGACTTAAAATAATTTCCCTCCAAGTCAAGACAACCAGAATTCAATTTAAATACCTATTTTTTAAATGTTAATATTAATTTTCTTGTATTACCAATTAGCGATTTTTTTATTATCTATATTAATTTATTGTAGATACAGATTAGAATAAAAGATTATATAAACAGCTATAATAAATAAAAAAAAATAACGCATCAAGGACATAAAAAACACATATATACGTCGTACAAAATAAAAACCGTTGCGGGCTATCGATTAGGCTAATACATGTGTGCAGTGCTACCACTACACAAATATGGCCCTTATGGGACGTTTTCAATGAGTTTTAAATCTCCCACTCGATATTGTGTTGGCAACGGCGAGGAAGCGGTTGCAGCGGTGCCACGTTTATTTGACATTTGCCAGAATTTTCTGAATGTTAGTTGAGAGTTGTGTCTCGTGTGTATTGAATCTTTTAAAACCTTTATCTATCGATTGAAAACTGTTGTTTTCAGAATATTTTGTGTAGTAGTTGTTAGTTTTTTCTTTGAAAAATGCCTAAGCAGTTAATAGTCGGTGCCAAGAATTAGTGTCATCTCTGATACAATATTTTGAGAAAGAAAGGGACAATAACGGCCCGTTTTATATTATAATCAAGTATTTTAAAGTAGACCAGTGAAGTGAGTTTTTTTTATTTTGAGAAACAAAGCCTACTAATCTTCTATGGAAAATACTTATTAATTCTTGGAATATTTCAAAAAGTTGCCTATATATTTTATAATCATTTACCACTCTTTATAATAGTGTCAAGGTGTATACTGGTTGCATAACTGCATACTGCTAAAAAATCGCACTGTGGAAGGAACCTGGCGCATTCGCCAGAAAGTAAAGAAAATTATAGAATTCTTTAGAAAAATCTAGAAACAACCGCCAGGGGGTATATAAGGCCCGCGCTTTGACAGTTGGACAAGTTTAAAGTTTAAAGTTTGAAGTCTGAAGATAGTCTGAAGTTTGATAATATCGCGAAATACCGTTAGAGTAATAGTAGTTGCATAAGTTGTGTTGTAAATAGTATAAGTTGTGTGTACAGAGTGAAACAAATAAATTCGTTAAGTATTTTATCGTGAGTTTAAATAGTGGACCCACGGAATCCGTAACAATTGGTGTCGGAAGTGCGATTCAAGAGGATTTTAAGAAGAAATTAAGTGGATTGGAAGATTTTTTAGACCGAATTAGAGTATTTTTATGGTTGGTACAAGGGAGCAAGCGAAGAAAATGGAGGAAGTAAGCAAATTATTGGGCGATTTTATGGAGAATATGAGAAAAGAAAAAGCAGAAGATCAAGAAAGACTCCGTAAAGAACGAGAAGAAGAGCGAGCCCGACTAGAAAAAGAGAAAGCAGAAGAACAAGACCGCTTACTGAAAATTCTAGAAAATCAAGAAATTAAACAGGACCGGCTTGAGAACATTTTCGAAGATTTGAAAATTCAACGACAACAAGACAAACAAGAAGAACAGGACCGGCTTGAGAGAATTTTTGAAGATTTAAAATTCAACGACAACAAGATAAACAAGAAGAACAGGACCGACTTGAGAAAATATTAGGTAATTTAGAAATTCGTTTGGAGGAGCGACGTCATAGAGAAAGACAAGAAGATCAAAATCGTCTTAAAAAGAACTTCGAAGATCTGGAAAAAGACAAGAAATACACCTTCAAGAAGCCGTAGAAGATCTGGAGGAGCGCCTTCAACAGAAAATGGAAAAATTAGAGAAGGACCTACAGAAGACCAAGGCACAAGCAAGGACACCTGGCGTTCCTGGAACTGCAAACCTCAAGGCCCCGACCTACGATGGACAAACCACCTGGACGATGTACCACCGCCAGTTTGAAGCAGTGGCTGCTGCGAATGGATGGACTGACCAGGAGAAAGCAGCGGCACTTGTCATCGCGCTGCGTGGCCCTGCCTTGGAACTGCTGCAAACTATTCCTGCAGCCCAACAGCAGGAATACGAAACATTGGTTGCTGCACTGGACAGAAGATATGGCGACCAACATCGACGCCAACTTTACCAGGCCCAGATCAAGACACGCCTGCAGAGGTCCGGAGAGAGTCTGCAGGAATTTGAAGCAGACTTACGTCCGGAGGCACCGGAAGGATTTAGGGAGGAACTCGCTGCTCAGTGCTTTATTAGCGGACTGAGGGACAACGAATTGCAGAGGGCGCTGCAAATATCCCGATTTTCCACCAGCAGCGAAGCACTGATCAGGGCGCTGGAAATCGAAGTTGCCTTTAGCGCCATCCCTAGGCCGAAGATAAGATCGGTAACGGTCGAGGAACAGCCCGAAAGCACTCACAGAGGTTTGGAGGAGATGTGTAAGAAAGTCGACAAATTATGTGAGCTACTAATAAACAAGGGAGTCAACAACACCCAGACAGAGAACCAGAGAAGATTCCAGGACATAAGGTGCTTTAGATGTGGCAGGAATGGCCACATTAAACGGGATTGCCGCGTTCAAATGCGATCCCGTTCACCATCCAGAGAACGTAGGCACCAGGAAAACTAAAATCAGTCAATACTAAGGGGCGAGTATTGACTGGGGAGAACAGAGCCCCCAGGATTTTTTCCATTAGGAGTCTGGGAAGAACCGCTGACAGTTTAGTGATCGACGGGAAGGTCAATGGTAGGAGAATCCGAATGACAGTGGACACTGGCGCTATGGTATCGTTGGTGCGGGCTAACTCAGTGCAAGGATTGAAGCTGATGCCTCTGGGAAGAAGAGTGTGTTTACGTACAGTTACGGGGGAAATGGCCGTTGTACGGGGAGAGGCTATCGTCGAACTGAAGTTAGGAAATTTGAAGTTTCAGCATAGCGTCTTAGTGGCAGATATTGAAGATGACTTCATCTTGGGCATGGATGTGATTCGTCAACATGGATTTTCGTTCGATCACCAGAGAAATATCTTAAATATTGGAAATGAAGAGTTCATGTTATCTCCAGACGAGGGACCAGGCAGAATGGATGTAAGATCAGCGGAAACTGTGGTGATACCTGGTAATACCGAGAAAATCGTATTCGGTAAAGTGGAGAAAATCGCTGGGTGCTGTGTTGGACTGGTACAAAGTAGCGACAACAAAAGGATAGGTACTTAGTAGGAAAATCATTGGTTAACACCGACAAGAATATACCGATCAGAATTGCGAATGTTTTCCCGAATTGTGTCAAGATTCAAAAGGTGACAAGATAGCCATCTGCGAACCTGTAAGAAGTGTCACCCGATGTGATGAAGTGTCGTCAGCTGTTACACAAAAGGCATCCCAAGAAACACTAAAACATCTAGAACAGCCATGGGATCACCTAACACCTGAGGAGAAACAGAAGGCCAAGCAGTTCCTGCTAAAGCATGGCAGTATTTTGAGAGAAGAACAACAGTGGAAGAACGGATTTTGTGAAGCACCGGATTAATACTGGTCATGCTCAGCCGATTCGACAACGTCCTAGAAGGGTGCCCCTTTCCAAACAACAAGAAATGGAGACAATGGTAGATAAGATGCTAGAAGATGGAGTTATCGAAGAATCATCGAGTCCATGGTCATCTCCTGTTGTTTTGGTGACGAAGAAAGATGGTAGTACACGATTCTGCGTGGATTATAGGAAGCTCAATGACGTCACTAAGAAAGATAGCTACCCACTGCCACGTATAGATGACACATTAACAACTCTGGCAGGTTCGTGCTGGTTCTCCACTCTCGACTTAAAGAGTGGATACTGGCAAGTTGGTCTGGACGAGGACGATAAAGAAAAGACGGCTTTTTCTACAGGAAGCGGCCTATACCAATTCAAGGTTATGCCATTTGGATTATGCAATGCTCCAGCCACTTTCGAACGTCTCATGGAGGTGGTGTTAAGAGGATTAACTTGGAAAACGTGCTTGGTTTACCTCGACGATGTATTGGTTATGGGAAGAACTTTTGAGGAGCATTTGCGAAATTTAGAAGAAGTCTTCGACCGCATAAGGAATGCTCACCTGTACTTGAACCCGAAGAAGTGTAGCTTATTCCAGCGACAAGTGGAATTCTTGGGTCATGTAGTCTCGGCAGACGGAATTTACACCGATCAGAAGAAAATCGCTGCAATCAAAGATTGGCCTAAACCTCGCGACAAACATGAACTTAGAAGTTTTCTGGGTTTATGCACCTATTACAGAAGATTTGTCAAGGGATTTGCCAATATAGCTGCACCCTTACATAGACTTACAGGTGATGAAGTCGGCTACGAATGGAACACCGATTGTGATGTAGCCTTTGGAAGACTTAAGGCGGCTTTATGTTCAAGTCCTATTCTAGCCTACCCGCAACAACAAGGGAGGTATATCCTGGATACCGACGCCAGCAATATCGGCATAGGTGCAGTGCTATCACAAGTGCAAGATGGCGAAGAACGAGTGATAGAATATTACAGTCGAGTTCTATCCAAACCAGAAAGGAATTACTGCGTTACCCGGAAGGAGCTGCTAGCAATTGTGAAGGCAGTTGATCATTTTCATAAATATCTGTACGGCCAAGAATTTTTAATTAGGACAGATCATGCGGCTCTCAAGTGGCTTATGGAGATGAAACAACCTGAAGGTCAAATAGCACGATGGCTCGAGAAGCTCCAACAGTATCACTTTACCATCCAACATCGTGCTGGAAAAATGCATGGTAACGCAGACGGTTTATCCAGAAGACCCTGTCAAA